GAAGTCGACCGCCGCAGCGTTGTAGTTGGGGGCCGTCACCGTCATGTCTCCTGCCGAGAGAGGGAAGGGAGAGGTCACTCGCACCGCGCAGTGCTGTCCGGGCAACAGGATCCAAAAGCCCCGGCTGAGCCCTGCCTCTGGAAGGAGGGCGAGGAGCAATGTTCCCTCTAAGCTGTGAAGTCTTGTGAGCAAAAATTCTACTTTGTGAGCTACTGGCGTTAAAGTTGTGAGCGAGCGATTTGGCTGCTGCATAAATTAGTCTGCTCTGGAGCCAATCCTTCCTGAGCTAAGACAAAAAGGTGTGAGTCGGAGGCTAAAAAACTGTGAGCTAGCTCACACTAACTCAGCTTAGAGGGAACATTGCCCACCACCCTCCCGGGAGGTTCACTGGTGGTGGGAGGTCCGCGTTGGCGGGATGGGATGGACCGGGCTCACGGGCCAAGCACTGGGTCCCAGTCCACACCCATCCCTACTGGCAACCTCCAGGGCCAGGCATCACCTGTCGGGCGAGTCATGCCCCTTCCACGCCAAGTCACAGAATCTCTGGGCAGACCAGGAACCAAGCAGCCGAAGCGCAGGAGGACTGGCACGTAGACAGGCTGGCTGAGAAAAAGAAAAGACGACTTACCTGTGCCCGTCAACACTTTGACTCGGCGGGTCTTGCCCAGGTGCACTGCAATGCTCTTGAGCAGCGTCTCCACATCGTCACAAGGGCTGGTCATTTTGTAGCGTTCCACGTAGCTGCAGGGCGGGGTGGGGGAGAACCGCAGGAACGGGTGAGTCAGGCCCCTGGGGGTGGGCAACCACCCCCAGCTCTCTCCCCAGCGCTATGTGATCGCCTCACCTGAACTGCTGCTGACGGTTCAGTGTGTAAAGCAGGTAATCGGCAATGACGTCCTCGCCTACCAGGTGGTCCCGGATCGTCCCTAGGTGAAAAAGCAGCAGGCTCCTAGCTGCAGGCAAAATGCCCAGACTCCAAACCACCCTTCCAGACACCTGGTAGAGGTGGATGCGAGTTAAGCCACTCTGTGCCCATCAAAGAATCCACTGGCAGCAAAAGGAGGGAACCACCAGATGTGCTGGATTCCTCCAGAAAGGTGCCGCTCCCCTGGAACTCCAGAGAGGGGCACCAAATAACCCAGATGTTCGGGCCTCAAGGCAGAGAGGAGAGCATTCAGTGGCCTGCTCGCTTCTCCTCCCTCTGGCCACGGCCCCACCGGGCCGGCTCCTCCTCCTGTCCACCCCTACCCCTACCCAGGCAGCACCATCACCGTCCAGGTGGACAGAACACCTGCCCCCCCGCCCCCCGCAGTCCCCTCACCGCACAGAGCGAGCTTCAAGCCGATCTCCACAGACTCAATTCGGGGAGACAGCACTCCGGGGGTATCCAGGAGGAACATGAGGGGCCGGTCACACACCTGGAACACAAAGGGAGGTGACGAGATTTTACAGTCTCCAAAAACTGGCGCATAAGAACATAAGAGACGCCGATGTTGGATCAGGCCAAAGGCCCATCCAGTCCAACACTTTGTATCACACAGTTCCCAGAAATACCAGTGCCATCAGGAGGTCCACCAGTGGGGCCAGGACATTAGAAGCCCTCCCACTGTTGACCCCCCCAAGCACCAAGAAGACAGAGCATCCCTTGCCCCAGAGCCCCTATCTATACCTTGTGGCTAATAGCCACTGATGGACCTCTGCTCCATATGCCTATCTAATTCCCTCTTGAAGCCGTCCATGCTTGTCGAGGTTTATAAGATTATGCATGGTATAGAGCAGGTAGAGAAAGAGGTACTTTTCTCCCTTTCTCACAATACAAGAACTCGTGGGCACTCCATGAAATTGCTGAGCGGTCGGGTTAGAACAGATAAAAGGAAGTACTTCTTCACCCAAAGAGTGATTAACACTTGGAATTCACTGCCACAGGAAGTGGTGGCGGCTACAAGCATGGACGGCTTCAAAAGGGAATTAGATAAGCATATGGAGCAGAGGTCCATCAGTGGCTATTAGCCACAAGGTACAGATAGGGACTCCGGGGCAAGTGATGCTCTGTCTTCTTGGTGCTTGGGGGGGGGAGGTCAACAGTGGGAGGGCTTCTAGTGTCGTGGCCCCACTGGTGGACCTCCTGATGGCACCTGGTGTTTCTGGCCACTGTGTGACACAGAGTGTTGGACTGGAGGGGCCACTGGCCTGATCCAACATTGGCTTCTCTCTTATGTTCTTAAGTCCAGAGTCTCCCAATCCCTCTGGTTCATCCCCTGCCATGTGTGCCCCTCTCCCACAGACAGAAGGCCCATCAATGCTTTCACAGGCACAGAATAGTTTTCCACTGTCCCTTCACATCACCTCCCATTTTTTCCCAAGGGTTTATTGTACTACCTGGATTCTGGTAAGGACAGCTCTGGTAATGCCTGGTTCCGCACCAACACTAGAGGCTTTCCCTGAGAGGAGGGGAAGAAAAAAAACCCAAGCTGTTACACACAGGATACAAGGCACTTCTCTACAAGTTCTGTGGCTACTAACTGAGAGCCAGTGTCGGGCAGAGGCGGACTCTAACCTGGAGAACCGGCTTTGATTCCCCACTCCTCCTCCACAAACCCTGCTGCTGGGTGACCTTGGGCCAGTCACGGTTCTCTCAGAACTCCCTCAGCCCCACCTACCTCACAAGGAGCCCGTTGTGGGGAGAGGAAGGCAAGGCAAGTGCAAGCCGCTTTGAGACTCCTTAAAGTAGAGAAAGGTAAAGTAAAGGTAAAGGTTCCCTTGCTCGAAAGCCAGTCAAATCCAACTCTAGGGTTGCGGTGCTCATCTCCGTTTCCAAGCCGAAGAGCCAGCGCTGTCCGAAGACGTTTCCGTGGTCATGTGGCCAGCATGACTAAACACCAAGGCGCACGGAACGGCCCTTTCCCTTCTCAGCTGAAACTGGAAGCCAGATAGGATACGGTTGTCCCGGGTAACCCTGAACCCAGTGAAGCTTCCTGCCCTTTCTGGCAACAGCCAACTAGCCTTTGGGCAGAACAAAAAAAGGTCAACTGCACAGGGGCCCAGCTGGTCCCTCTCTGGCAGTCAGATTTAGGGATGCCCATTTATGAGACAGCCAACAAGAGGGCATAGAGGCCGAGGCCTTCCGCTGACGTTGCGGCCTGGCTCTGGGATTCAGAGGCTTAGTGCCTCTGCATGTGGAGGTTCCCCTCAGTCACCATGGCTAGTAGGCCACTGATAGACTTATCCCTCCACGAATCTATCTAGTCCACTTTTAAAGCTGCCCATCCCAGGGGCCATCACTACATCCTCTGGCAGAGAATTCCACATTTTAATCACTCTCTGTGTAAAGTAGTACTTCCTTTTGTCCATCTGGAACCTACTGCCCGTCAGCTTTGCTGTCTGGGGACTTGGTTTTCCCAACTGCTGAACATTTATTGGGTACCAGAGGGAGCAATGCTAAGGAGGTTTACCTCAGGCCAAGTCCCAGCTCATTCAACAGGGCTGACTCCCAAGAGAGTGCGCTCAGTGTTACTGCTATTATTAACTTCATTTACAGCCCACCTTTTCCACGGAGACTCCAAGGCAGATTGCAAACTATGAAAAGCAATTCAACTCAGACCTCCAGTGAGCAATGTGGTAGGATTCCGGAAATTGGACAACAGTATAAACAAAAGGTGCTGAAGAAGAGGAGGAGGAGACTGGATTTATACCCCGCCCTTCACTACCCGAAAGAGTCTTAGAGCGGCTTATGATCTCCTTTCCCTTCCCCTCCCCACAACAGCCACCCTGTGAGGTAGGTGGGGCTGAGAGAGCTCTCCTGAGAACTGCCCTTGAGAGAACAGCTCTGAAAGGACTTGTGACTGACCCAAGATCACACCAGCAGCTGCATGTGGAGGAGCGGGGAATCAAACCCGGTTCTTCCAGATACAGTCTGCACTCCTAACCACTACACCAAACTGTCTCTTGAAAACTCAACTGTCTAAGGCCAAAATGAACAGAGGGGGTATGATGTTCTGCAATGTAAATATTTTGTGTTTTGTTTCTGCGATTTAATGTGGGGATTTATTTATTTTAATATAGTTTATTTGTCATTTTCCATTACAAAAAAGTAAACAAAATATAAAGTCTTGACAACAAATTTTGGAGTTTTCCTTATACATTTTTCTCTATCCATCTATCTATTTTTGCCATCTTTTTTTGAATATGTTTTCTTCTTTCTCTGTTAATATCATATTTATCTTATCCATTTCTTTTATTTCCAAGATTTTCATAGTTAATTCTTCTCTATTTGGTATTCTATCTGATTTCCAACATTTCGCTATAAGTATTCTGGACATAGTTAAGTATATATAATATCAGACATGAATCATTGAAAGTTATCCCATCTGGTCACATATTAAGGAAATATACTTCTGGTTCTAGCTTCAGGTCTATTTCAGTTACCTCTAATATTACTTGTTTTATAGCAATTTATATGCATGGTTGCTGTGGTTCAAAATGTGTGCCTTTAAGGTAGGGAAGAGGGGGGTTGGGATGGGGATCAGTGAAGTGAGTGACGAGTGGATAGTTGCTTGTCCCCCAGCAGGTGGAGTTGACTGGGTTTGTTCAGGGAGCTTTTCAAGAAGACGGGACTGAGTGAGGTGGTGTGGCAGGCGAGAGAAATCTGCAGTCTTTTTGTGGAACCCATAAGCCTAAGTGGCAAGGGGAGGGGGGAAATGATGCCTTCGTGGCAAGGTCTGTCCAGGGAACTTTAGAAGCTACCCTATTCTTTGGGCTCCACTAGAACATCTAAGGCGAAAGGAGAAATAAGCAGGAACTGCCGAGGGAGGGTAGGAGGCAGCGTAACACACGTCGCCTCAGACCACTCCAGGGAGGTGCCGTGACAGATGTGGCATTGCTAAGGGTCTCCAAAAGGGACAAAAGGTTATTAGGGGCTACAAAGACGGGAGTCTCTGCAGTAACGAACAGGAGGCACCGCAAGAATTGAATGAATGAGCATATCAATCCTGTCTCACAATAGTTCCTCGTTGGTAGTGGGGGGTGGGTCTGCAAAAGCACATGCAGGAAACTGGAAAAGAAAGAAACCCAAAGGAATGTGGCTCCACCTCCAAAGTTATGGGCACCACCCACGACTGAGAGTCAGAACTGCCACCAGGCACGAGACGTCATATAAGCTGGACTACCAGAACTTCATTGGGCTAGAAAACCTTTGTTTGTTTATTTCTGGCACCTTCTCCTTCCAGCCCCCTCGCCCCCTCCCTGCCCGCGTTCCATGTTCCTCTACCATTAACTAGCAGCAAAGATGACAGAACCGTCTGCTCAGGTATTCTGTGCGGTTCTTCAAAACAGAATGCGAAGAACAGGAAAACGTTTCCTGTCAACGAATTCCATCATTTTATTCCGACCGAGTTGTTAGGAATACCGCCCCACCCCCTCCGGGTATCACTACAAAGTTCAGTGTTAACTCATTGACAAAGCCAAAGGAACCAAACAAAAAGAAGATACCTTTTTTGAGGTGCAACCTTCTTATTGAATTGATGACTGAGGATTTCCCCACGTTTGGCACACCAATGACCATCATGGAAGTTTCAATATTCTGGAACAAAACCGAATGGGTAAGAGCCCACCTGTCACCTTTTCAGGGAGTTATTAAGAAAACTAGGAACAGGTTGCAGCACCTCCTTTGGTTCATAGGCAGGACAGGTGACCTTACAGGGCAGAGCCTGCTGGGATTCAAGTCCTGCTCAAGAACTTCAGCATCAAGAATCCAGGGACTGGGCATTCACACGCAACCAACCAGCATTTCTGCAGCGATACCGATATGGATTTGGTCTGCGCCCTGGCCTCTTCCGTGAAAGCAAAGTCGTCTCCCAAGAGAGGATTCCAGCAGTTCCCACAGGGCTGGAAGGAGAGCCTTCCTAATCATTGGCCTCGCTTGCTACCGAGGAAAACAAGAGCCACGCTGGCCCCCAGAGGATCCGACTGAGCCAGCAGGACTCACCTCAGACCTCTGATAGCGCTGGCTGCTGTGGACCAATTCTGTGACAAGGGGAACAATCTGCAAAGAAAGGCAAGAACATTTTCAGAGGAATTGCTGTGGGGTGGCTTTTCTAATACAGCCGACCATTGGCTTGTTTATGGAGTGGGTATTAAGAGCGTAGCCCTTCGGTGGTTTTACTCTATTCTGCATGACCGGACACACACAGTCTCCACAGAAGGTGCAGAATCATCAGGGTGGAATTTGTCTTATGCGGTGCCACAGGTTTCTATTCTCTCACCTACGCTGATAGACAGAGAGAGAGAGAGAGAGAGCGACAGACAGACAGACAGACAGAGAGCGACAGAGAAACAGAGAGAGAGAGACAGAGAGAGAGGCCACCGAATGAGATTATCCGGACCTTTGGGGTTGGGCATCACCAATACGCACCCAGCTCTATATTTCATTATTCAGACCTCCAGATATGTCCATCTTGGTTCTGAACTGGTTGTGAACTGGGGCACTGTGGCTGCAGTCAGGTGGCTGAGGCAGAACAAACTGAAGCTGAATCCAGATAAGACAGAGGTCAATCAATCAATCCTAAAAGAAATCCACCCTGACTGTTCCCTGGAAGGCCAGAGACTGAAGCTGAAACTCAAATACTTTGGCCACCCAATGAGAAGGCAGCGCTCACTGGAGGAGACCCCGATGCTGGGAAAGATTGAAGGTCAAAGAAGAAGGGGACGGCAAAGGATGAGATGGTTAGACAGTGTCATAGATGCAACAAACATGAAATTGAGCAAACTTCAGAGGACGGCGGAAGACAGGAAAGGCCTGGCGTGATCTGGTCCATGGGGTCGCGGAGAGTCGGACCCGACTGTGCGACTGAGCAACAACAACTGCGGGCTGCAAAGGCTGAATTCTACAGGGACCGAATCCGCTTGCCCTGGATGGAGTAACGCTGGCTTTTCCAGAGCAGGTCAAGAGCTTGGGGGTGCTGGTGGGCTCCTGCCTTGCTGCTTGAAAAGCAGGCTGGCCGGGTGGCCCAGGAGCACCTTCTCTCAGCTGTGTCTGATTTGCCAACATCCTCTTTAACCTGGCCACGCTGATCTGTGCTTCTGCGACCTCATGGATGGACTACTGCCATGTGCTCTACATGGAGCTTCCCTTGAAGACAGCTCAGACACTCCAGCTGGTTCAGAATGAGGCAGTGACTGCTGTCAGGGGCTAGCCCCTGGGAACATATGTGGCCCATTTTGAAACAGCGACACTGGGTGCCAATCTATTTCTGGGCTCATTTCAAGGCGCTGGGTATGGGCTTTAGAGCCCTTCATGACCTGGGGCCCACCTATTTGAAGGACTGTCTCCTTCCATATGCCCCTGTGCGCCAGCTACAGTCATCTGTCGGCAGCCGTCTGCTGGCTATCCCACCCCTTAGGGAGGCCCATCTGGCACTGGCCAAAGCCTGGGCCTTTTCCATCGTGACTCTGTCCGTGGGGAACGGCTCCCTGACGGGACAGATCCGGAGGCACTGCAGGGCCTGCCTGTTTGCCAGGGCTTTTGACGGGGATTTGAAGAGCAGGTGCCTTTTAAGGGGGGAGAAATTTAGGGGGTTGTTATTTTACCTTTGGTTTTAGCTGGGGATGCTTTAACTACTTTTATAAACTGCCTTGTACCAAGAGATATAAATGTTTTAATAAATAAATAAAAGAAGAGGATACTGCCCATTTCCCCCTCTCTCTGATGGATCACTGTACAAATGGCAGCAACTCAAAGGCCAGGACGAAGGGCCAGGTCCCTTTACTTCATCCACCAAGCAGGAATCAGCGATCTAGGTCACACTGCTTCCAAGTTCCATCCATAGAGACACTCTAACAGAACGGTACCTTCTCAATATTTTCATCCTTGAGGCAATCCGTGAAAAGGATGTGTTTGACCCCTTGCTGTTCCAAACATTCCAGAATCCGCTGAAAGCAAGAAAGTATCGATCAGAGGAAAGCCTGAACAGCTTACATTCAGGATACTTCTGCAAGGCAGCCTTTTGTGCTGGGGCTCTCCTGATAGAAACCACACAGCCACAGGCGTTTCGGCTCTGAGCCGCAGGAATCTCAAAGACTGTGGCAGGATCACAGACGCAGAAGGCAATGTCACAAGCAAGGCTCCCTCTAAGCTGTGGAATCTTGTGAGCAAAAATTCTACTTTGTGACCGACTGGCATTAAAGCTGTGAGCGAGCGATTTGGCTACTGCATAAATTAGTTTGCTCTCGAGCCATCCTGAGCTAGGACAAAAATGTGTGAGCCGGAGGCTTAAAAACTGTGAGCTGGCTCATCCTAACTCAGCTTAGAGGGAACTTTGGTCACAAGCATGTGGTGGTAGCGCGATCTTTAGACAATGCCTTGCACGTGGAATGGAAAAGGTGGTTGCCGCTATGGCAATCTGTTAAGTCAGTTCAACTGAACAAGAAAATATCATAAACGGCTTCCCAATGAAAGAAGGTATCAGGAAGCTACAAGCTGGGAGATGAAGCTGAATGAATCCAAGGACAAGGTCCATCTGTGCAAGTTAATACATAGCATGCAGGCTTAACAAATTTAGGAATTTGTCGTAACTAAAAGCCAATCAGTTGGCAAAAAGGTCTGCAGAAAACACAAATGATTCAGTGCGGCACTTTCTTGCTACTGCTTGATGCCGGCTAGCAAATGTTGCCTCCCCCAGTCCTGAAAACCATCAGTAAAAACTGCTCCCTGACTCTGGGTTGAAAAGCCGCCAATCAGACCAAAGAGCAAGGGCTGCTTAAGGAAAGCAAGGAGGCACCAGCCCACAGTGGTCCATCCCAACCTGTTGGTGAGTCCTGGTGTCAAACTCATAGTGGCCAATAGGAGGCAGAGCCTATCTTGGTCTTACCGATTTGTGTGTCAGGTCTGCGAGGTCCATCTTGTTCAGCACCAGCAAGTGTGGACGGACACCCAGGGCGTCCTGCAGCATAGGGTTCCGGCCAGAGAGTGGGATGTGCATGCGCTAAGGAGCCAAAGAAGGGCAGGGAATGGCAGCCCCCCCCCCCCAAAGTTTGGGTAGGCCTGAAGAAGACGTTTGGCGACTGCAGCCACAATTATGGCAATTTAAGCTGGAAAGGTCTTGACAGGCAAACACAAATTAAACCTGAGGAACAAGTCTTTGAGCCCACTGTGATGGAGATCCTGTAAGCAGGAAGGTACCGCTTTACCTATTCGGTGGGAGTGCCATCTGGTTCAGTGGTTCATAAAGAGATATCCAACATTGCCTTACTCTCCAGAATTTTTGTTACTGGATTTCTGGGGCGGTTTTTTGCTTGATAAAAATACCAAATATCTTGTCTCTACATGAGTTGCTTCTGCTTGCTTGGTTGTTGCCAGGAATTGGAAACCCGTCACAGGACCCGTGCTCAAAAATGGTACCAGAAAATCTGGGAACATTTTTTGATGGGTAGGATTATGCATAATCCGTTTTTTGGGGATTTATGTATGGTAGCTCCCTTATTTGAATGTGACAAAATATGGAAACCAGTTTTAGAATTTCTATGTGCCAAGGATGTAATTCCTTCAATGCAACACAGTTTTGATGGTTGGTCATTTTGATTTTCGGCTCTACAACAGATTGTTTATATTAATTAAAAATATATTAAATGCTTTTTAATAATTTTTTAAGAAGCCAGCCAAAATCTTTCCTTTTAACTAGGTTTTTAACCAAGGGGTCTTTTCTTCTTAGCTCTCTATAGTTCTTGCTTCTAGCTTGAGGAATGTTTTATGAATATTTTTCAGCAGTTCAGTGGTTGTTTAATGTTGGTTTTATAATCTTGGGTTGTATTTTTACACTGTTAACTGATTTATTTATTTACATTTTTTCACATGCAGTGATGCCACTTAAATAAATAAATAAATAAATAAATGACAGGTAAACCCCAGAAAGCTGGAACCCTGTCTGTCTCCAAACTTGCAGCTTTGCAGAGACCTCATTTGTTGGTATTTTACAGACAGGAACAAGCAGGGGTCATTTCGTAGAAAAAGAGCTAGGGGGACTCATTAGCATAACTCTCATTAGCATATGCCACCCCCCCTGACATCACCGGAAGTGTGTCCTCCCCACAGCCGGCGGCGACCTCCAGCGGGCACCAGCAGGGAGCTCCAAGCCCCGCCCTCCCCCCCACACCACCACTGCGGCTCTGCTGAAATGCTTTTTTCTCTCTGCATGACGAGTTAATTTATTCTGCAACAGTCTTTCCTGGACTGGCTTCTGAATGCAGAGAGGAAATGACTGTTAACAGTAGGCACTGATGCACCACAAGGGCTTGGCCTGCTCTCAGACATGGGTCATGCACAGAGAGGCAACAGTGCCATCCCATCCTGAAACCCACTGCTGCCCAGGTCCAGCCAAGCCCTTACAGTGCTTTCATGGGTGCTGAGACTGGACCTAAACGGCAGCAGCAAGGGCGACAGAGGTGGGCGTTATGTGTGGGGTGGGCTGGGGGGGAACACATTTATCCTCTGCTTGGGCTACTGAAAACCTTGCCAGGCTTCCCGTCAGACATACAGAAGGATATGCGGGCATCATGCACTTCCAGCAAACAGTCTACCTGGTGCAGGCGCTTCTTCATGTCCTTCAGCCCTACAAAAAAAGATCAGGCCATGTCAGGTGGGCAGAGAGGCTTGGCAGACTTGCTTTGGGAGGGCTCCGTGAGCAGAGGTAGCCATGTAACCTGATCCGCTTGGGGTTGCCAACTTTTGAGTCGGAAAGTCCTGGAGATATGGAGGTGGAAGGGCAGGGTCTAAGGAGGGGTGAAACTAGGCATGATGCCTACAGAGTGTACCCTCCAAAGCAGCCATTTTTTCCAAGGGGGTTGATCTTGGTCGTCTGGAGATCCCTTGTGATAGCAGATCTCCAGGCCCCACCTAGAAACTAAAAAGAAGCACAGCCGAAAAGGTGTGGGAACATAAAGAAATCAAGCTGTGTGGAAAGATGTTAATAAAATGGTTAAATAAATACTATTAGTCTCTGTGTGTAATTTATATAACAAAAATTAGTGCAAAAATTACAAAGGAGCTACTATGATATTTAGAAAACAAGAGAACATAAGATAAGCCAATGTTGGATCAGGCCAGGCCAGTGGCCCATCCAGTCCAACATTCTGTGTCACACAGTGGCCAAAAATACCAGTGCCATCAGGAGGTCCAGCATTGGGGCCAGGACATTAGAAGCCCTCCCACTGTTGTCGTCCCCCACAAGCACCAAGAAGACAGAGCATCACTTGCCCTGGAGTCCCTATGTATACCTTGTAGCTAATAGCCACCGATGGACCTCTGCACCATATGCTTATCTAATTCCCTCTTGAAGCCGACCATGCTTGTAGCCACCACTACCTCCTGTGGCAGTGAATTCCATGTGTTAATCACTCTTTGGGTGAAGAAGGACTTCCTTTTATCTGTTCTAACTCCCAACTCCAAATCATTAATAAACAAGTTAAAAAGCATTGAACCAAGTACTGATCCCTGCGGTAACCCACTACTTACCACCCTCCACTGAGAAAATTTCCCATTTATACTCACTCTCTGTTTCCTATTTATTAGCCAGTTTCTGATCTACAAAATGACTTGTCCTTTTATCCCGTGATTTTTGAGCTTACTTAGGAGCCTTTGATGAGAAAGTTTATCAAAAGCTTTCTGGAAGTCAAGGTAAACATCTGTTGGGTCCTCCTTGTCCACACGTTTATTCACCCCCTCAAAGAACACTAACAGGTTAGTGAGAAAAGATCTTCCCTTATACAGAAATAAAGTCCAAATACATAAATAAGAACTTCAGAAGAACACTGGAGTATAGATAATGCAACAAAGATTCTGGATAAATCTTTTGTTTCAACAATCTTCTTCAAGGTGGACTCCGGCTATCTTCAATAATAGATTTGCTGTGATGTTTTCAGTTCTCAAAAGTCAAATTTCAGATACCATCAAAAGTCAAATTTCAGAAGACAAATTTCAAAATGAGTATACAGATTTGTAATGGAGTACATACTTCTTCACCTTGATAGATTCCATCTGTATACTGTATAGTCATTTTGAAATATTGTCTTCTGAAATTTGACTTTTGATGGTATCTGAAATCAACTTTTGAGAACTGAAAACATCACAGCGAATCTACTATTGAAGATAATAACCGGAGTCCACCTTGAAGATTGTCAAACGCAAGATGTTGTGTTCATCTGGACTCCAGTGTTCTTCTGACATTCTTATTTAAGTGTCTGGACTTTATTTCTGTATTTTCTAAATATCCTAATAGCTCCTTTCAATGTTCCCTCTAAGCTGTAGAGTCTTGTGAGCAAAAATTCTACTTTGTGAGCTACTGGCATTAAGGTTGTGAGCAAGCAATTTGGCTAAATTAGTTTGCCCTGGAGCCATCCTTCCTGAGCTAAGACAAAAATGTGTGAGCTCACACTAACTCAGCTTAGAGGGAACACTG